CCTGTACGGTACTCAGCAATGAGTAAAGTGATACGGCAAAGAAGGGTGCCGACATTGTCGGCACACTGCCACCGACGGAAAGCGAATGGACAGCGAGGAACGTGATAAAAATATAACGACTGATTGTTTCCAGGAAACAGTAATCTACCGAAAAGTGTGAAAGAGGTGCCGAATCTACCGGCACACTGCGGCCGGCCAGGTATGGAACAGAAAAGGAGAGGCAACATATAGAAACATGTAAAATAATTTACTCCTGCTCGCAAATTCTTCTTTTTGTCTGGATAGAGCAGTGGTTGTTGGTGAGCGGCGCATATCGCTTCGACTGTGTTGATATCCGCGAAGCATGAGTGGATGCAGCGACGGCAGGAGGCAGACGGTTGGAGCAAGGAGATTTCGATAGAAAAGTTGAAATTAGTACATCGATTATGGCACATGCAGTTGAGTCTCGGAATGTCTACACTTCGAATACACGTAGTTGAAATCGAAGGTATTGACATTCCATATTCGATATCAGCTCTTTTTACCTTTGTTATAGCCGTAGGCAACATGACCATACCTCGTATGCAGATAGGGACTTGTTTGTATCGCATTGGTCAATCCTATCGCATTGATTGTTGTTTTCTTTTTCTGGATCTGCTTTCTCCGACCTGATGTCTTGCGATAACTCCGCTTCTGTCGTTGCAAAACTTTGATTATTTCCTTTGAAACTCAAAATGACTGTTTTGCTGCAATCTTGTGGTTTATCGACAGCTAATGGTGAGCTGTCCACAGCAGTGATTCTCCTAATGTGTGAAGCCAGAACATGAGTATCTTCTCTGGTTGCTGGTTTTGTAGAAGTATGCTCGGCTCTATTGTTTTTCCGTAATGAAGTGAACAATTTTCTGCTTTCCAGTCTAGATAGTTCTATCTCGCATTTCAGTGCTCGATCATGCAGCTTGTTAACGAACATTTCGGCATCGAACATAGCTTGAAAGTACCTGATTTCTTCTTCAAGCGCGTCGAGCTCCTTTACCATAACTTTCCTCATCATTTTCGTTTTTTTTTTCAAATACAGCTGCGTCAGTAGATCAATTTCCGTTTGTAATGACTGTGTATTCGCTTGGACTTCCTTGATAATCCTTGGAATACACGCAGATTATAAGCGCATATTTTTCGTCGCAGCTCGTCATCCTCTGGAAGTGTGGTTTTCTCACCTTGGTATGCATACTCTTGCAGTACTTTCGTGAGTTCGTTGGTGTGCCATCTAATTTCTTCTATGTAGTGGCGGGGAATCAGCTTCATTTTGTGGTGATCCCTTTTGTGCTGCTATTAAAAGCGAAGCACTGTGTCGGCCTTCGTATTTGGCCGATGCACCATAAATGTGGCGGAATAGCGCCTTTGGAATGAGTAGCTCCGCTGTAACATTAGACGTAAGCTTAGAGCTTTACTGAGTCAGACGACTTGCATGGGTGCAGTAGTAGAATGCTGCATATGATGGGCGTGACAAAATAGTACACATAAATCTGGGCAACAGAGATACTCATATCACAGCAGGTCATGCTTATGGCATGACCTGTACGGTACTCAGCAATGAGTAAAGTGATACGGCAAAGAAGGGTGCCGACATTGTCGGCACAGTCAACGTCAAACGCAAATTAGACAAATGGAGCAAATTCTAGTATTAAAAATAGTAAAATGGAGAGTCACAATTAGTTAGATTAGTTGGCTGATAAATTAGGTTGTCCCGAAAGTTTTGTCCGTTTTTTCAAACCACTATAAAACAACGCACAATAAAGACCTAAATGAGCTTTAACATTCATTCGATGCAGCTTTTCCATCTCTTTCTTAAGGATACATTTTTGTACCATAATCTTGTATGCTTTTCTTGATAATTGCCAGAATTCTCCACCCTTCAAATTTATCTGCTCAAAGTTAGGCTAATTTTTAAAATTTCACTTTTGAAGTTTCTGTGAATCAAAACATGATTCTTATTAAACATTATTTATGCAACATAACCAAGCTTTATTTGTTTTGTACAAGCAGATTTTTGGAATTTTCGGTACTTTTACGTGATAAAAATAATCAAAAAGCCGCGGTTTTTGTTAAACGAATAATTATAACGGACGTGGTAAACATCGCCTACGTAACCTAAAATGGGTACAGTATAGCCAAAGGATTGCTCCATATAACGGTTACCAGCGCTTTTCGAAAACATCAAGATAAAAATTTTTATTAGGAAAATTTGGCGTAAATGCTGAGCTGCTCAAAAAGCCATGGCGATAACATTGCAAAGACAGAATAGGTCATGAAGCAAATTCAGCCATAGGAAAGAGGATAAACTGAATCAGATGTTACCTAGGTCATCCATGGATTGATGTTCTGTGAGTTTGAGCGAGCGATGAAAAAAAACGGACAAAACTTTCGGGACAACCTAATATTACCTTAATTTCGTAATGGCCCCTGTCTATACAAAGTAAGTGTGAAAAACATCAAATAATGTCAGCGTTATCAGACAAAAATGCAAAATGGATGCAATACAGAGGTGTATAAGTAAATAAAATAACCCTCAAAATGGCTACAAATCAAAGCCTATGAACAGAAATGGAAGTAGTAACCATGCAACAAATCGGTAATAGAAGGCTTTCCGAATCGGTGGTTCTCAAGCAAAACACGGGGAAGTAAGTGACTCGAAGTGACTTAACCCAGCAAGGTGTAAACCATAATGACCGCCTTGAAATGCGAATTACGAGCATGCTTTTTTATCTGCTTATCGATTCACTGAATGACGTTACAGACATTCTGGACTCATCAGGCACTGAAGGTAGCAAAGTAGCTTTAAAACTATTAGCATTGATTTTTTTTGTGCCTTTGAATATATCTCAGACGTTCAGACATGTAACTCTGGAGAAGATTCACATTGTAGAAATCTACTTGAGCATTGTCTTTTTACCGCAAAATCTTGTGTCATGGAAAAGGCGATATTAGTGCAGTTTCAACAACTAGGCCACAAATTTTATTCAGGATTATTGAATGTAAACTATTATAGCAAAGGGTACTGAAGATGTAACTTAAAGCTTAGTTTTTGTAACTCCTCGCAGTCTCGGCATTATAAATCACCATCATATTATAATTTATGCATTATTAACTAACTATTACGTCATTCGCAATGAGATAACAAGCAACGCTGGCAAGAGACCTCGCTTTTGCCTAACAGGTTTCTGCGCATTCCACTGGGCTTCTACGTATTTATATTTTACTAGTTTGCTTTCCCGGTCGACCGGGCCATTGTTCTCCTGCACTGCGAGCTCACCCCCCCCCTTTATATGTTATGGATAACTTACAACTGGGACATCCACTTTGAAACCGCATCCTCTTGATCCTGAGGTGAAGATGAGCTTCACCGCCCTCCTTTACATGACTGTGACAAAATGCTTGATCAAACATGATAAGCCTTCAATTCCTTAGAGAAACGTAAACAAATCAATAAATCGGTAGAAGGACCCAGTGAATTGCCGCAAAAAGTAGCCCAAAAAGTCTCCGGGGTCGAAAACATCTGTGTGCAAACTTTTAGTCCAATTGGTTGAGCGGCGCGCGTTTCTGTAACTCACATACCCTCCAAACGGACAATTTTTGAGTTCTATAGAAATTAGTAGCCGCTGTACCCGGCTTTGTCCTGCTGTCCTAGGTTGAATCCAAGATTCTAATCAATTATGGAATCTATGTACATAATGACATTTTGAGTGGTATGTACAAAAGTCCGAATCCGATTATTAGCGTTATCTTCATTGTCTACGTTTTTGCGTTCAAAAGCCCTTCAAAAGAAGTTTCTGCTTTGACACTCAAGTAAATGGGAATTTCACAAACAGTGAACTAAATTTGGCTTCGCATTCTCTTGGAGCTGGATGCAGTCCCACATGTGCGAGATGGTCATCTTACTTGAAAACTTGGCAACCAGGTGTCGTCCTTTCCCCACAGTGTAGCGGGCGGAAGTTTGCCGACGTTTGCCAACGTATGCGCGTGGCAGTTTTTGGGGGTGTAGGCCCTTTTGAACCCTTCGCGCGCGACGATCGTTTCGCCGCGTTCGGCGCCGCTGGCAAAGCTAACAAGTCGCATTTACAGTCAACGGGAAAATACTTAGTTCGAAGTATGTAATATACCTGTGCCAAAACCTATCATCATGTTGGGCATGAAAGATATACAAAATTGAACGAGTATTAACTCGTTATGGCAGTGGATATGTTGACCAATCAGAGGCGCGCTGTGATAGCGAGCGGTTCAAAAGGGCCGTTTCCCGTTTTTGGCAGTTAGAGAGTACAAAAACTAATGCTTTAGAGAGGAGGTTCAACAAGTTTTTTAACGTGCTCAAATGTCTGCACGCCACGGCCGCTATACGCATGGGAAACGCGTATAGCTCTACCGCATTCTTCTTGTTAGAACTTAGAATGAGTTTCTCTGCTATTTTTTGCACCAAAATGTGCAAGGGCTTGATAGTGGCTGATACGACCTCATTTTTCATTGCAAAGTACCAAGAATCAATAACAATAGAAGGACTCAGCAAATTGCAAAAAGTTCTAAGCCATCTGCGCGGTCGAAAACATATGTGCGCAAAGATTCAGCTCAATCGGTTCACATGCGAAGGAGTCTCTAAAAAACACATACTGTCAAGATTTGCACAAACTTGGACTTTTATATATAGCGGTGGCGGACCGAGGCCCCCCCTCCCCCAAAAATAGGTCGCGAAATTTTTGAAATTTACTTACACGGGTCATAAAAATGTGTAAGTGAATTGTTTATTTTTGTGTCTTGTAAAAAAATTTTTTTGGGGCTGCCTGTTCCGTATTCCATATCCCTGTTCCAATCACCTACCTCCACTTCGTCTACTCGGTCTCTCCCCACACTGTTAATGTAGCAATTTTTGGAACGTTCTTTTTTTTAAGTGACGAATTCACTCCATTTATATAGGTAGTTTGATTTTACAAAGTTCAATGCGTGTAATGGAAAGCTTCAAAACTTTATTCATTCAGTACAATAAATAGTAAAGCCATCTGGATGTTTCAGTGTCTGCAGATTCTTGAAACCCGTGTATAAAAGGTAGCACAACCCTTTTTTGATCACAGAAAAGATATGGCAGAGATTGACGACATTGACGACATTACAAGTAAAAATTCTCAAATTAGATATGAGAAGAGAAATGTTAAGAAAGCAAGCAAACTATGCCTTTCATGATCTGAGCGGCACCAGTTCCCAGAGTCTCGTACGTCGACATTGCCTACACAAATCACTACATTTGTCGTACATCCATTTTAAAAGAAGGACGATCCCGACGACAACCATGGGAAGAACCACAAACCGAACCAAGCACGAGAGCACCCATAATACTCTAAAACTGCTTTTTTTCACTATTTAGAGAAAGGATAACGTGTGGAAACTAACATTTTACACAGAAGTTCCAACCAGAAGGATCGTTCGTAGCAGCAATCGTACCCACAACAAGATTCTCCTTCAGCACATGGATAAGCGATTTCAGTCATGCGTGTTCCATTCTCGTTGTATATCTCGAATATGTTACAAATTTTATTTACTAGCCAACTGGATCTTGCGCCGCCGATATTCGCTGACAATTTTGCGCGTCAGGAATGTGCTACACTCGAGTAGGTTTTCCGCCTAATATAGTGTGCTTGCACTGTAGGTGAAAAATGCGATAAAATTGGCGAGTAAACAATTAGCCATAATGGGAATTCCGCGCGCGCAATTGGCCAGCGTCACAAGCGCAGCTATCTGTTCAAGCGCAAATTTTACCGCATTTCACCTACAGTGCAAGCACACGATATTAAGCGGAAACTCGACTGTAAGCCTGTAACGCCCGAAATTTGCACCCAATTCAGCACCGCCCTGCAATTTCCTCACGCACAAATGTCAAGGGCACTGCAAGCACACTACGTTCAAAGTCAGATCTCTAGCCTACACATAACAAAAAAAAATCACTTGGCCAAACTGTTTGTCCTCTGGGTCAATCTTGTTCACGCACAGCACAGGAAACTCCTCGGTAAGTATCGGAAGGAAGTTCACTGCTCCAGAAGTATGGACGGTCATCGAATCTGCAAAATTCTGCCGTCGAATGGGCTCATTTGATTAAAAAAATTTTTTTGTTCCAGAGCCACAAGATCTTCCGAAGGGCATGGTGTCCTCCCCCCTCGAAGTTTTTCTTGTCCCTCTCATTTTTTCCGTCAGTTTATTCGCTTAGATGCTGTGGTCGCAGCATTCCTGTGCTGCGACCACAGCATCTAAGCGGAAAAAGCAGCAAAATATTTGCGCAGTGAAGCTTAATTATCGACGAAGTATTGGAGCTTGCTTGTATATGCTCGCCAGTCGTACGTATAAATAAGAATTTTGATAGAAATCAAGGCGTAGCATCTTCCACCTACTATAATGGTAAAGAGCAGAGGTGCGATAGGTGGAGCCGGGGCCCCCAAAAGTGAAGGTGGTTCCAGCTACCACTGGCCGGCCAAAAGTGAAGGTGGTAGTGCCGGACACTCACCTCCCAAAAATGTCGACCGGGGGGGGGGGCATTAACGTCTATCCTTCCAGGTCATTGCCGTTAGTGCGCGGAAAGTAAGCAAAACAAATGCAGAAGGGACCATTGAAAGCATATTTTTATGTATACAGCGTCATAAATATCTAAACTAAAGTTGCCTATCATATAGTGTATTTGGAAGTAAAACTCAGCGGAACTGTACGTATTTTATTAATTTAATTTTGTTATAATGTACAGCGAGGAAAGTAGGTCGATCCAGGCAGTAACCGCCGAGAACCAGAATTTCGAATAATAAAAAATGAAAAATTGTGGAAAATCATTTCACTGTTACAAATCTGCTGGCTGAAGACCTCCGCGTTGCGACTTCATAGGTTTTGAAGGCTAAGTGCTGTTCTACCAGACAATGAAAGAATCAGTTTGATTTGAGGAGTGGCCGCCGAGAACGAGAGTTTTGAAAAACCTTAAAAATCTTCCCAATTTTAGGTTGCTTAATGACAACTGACATTTAAACTCTTATAAATCCGGACTTTGAAGGTGTGTGATGTTGCGACTTCATAGGTTTTGTAGGGTGAGGTTTGCCCTATCAGAACGTGTCTTAGCTGTACCGATCCATTGAAACATCGCCGAGATCCAGGCTCTTAAAAAAGCAGGTAAAAAACCGTTTTCAGCTCATAACTTTTCAGAACTGCATGAATCATGTTGCGACTTCATAGGTTAGATTCTCCTCTTCAAAAGCTTTCAGATGATATATAATATGTGGGGGATTTAATGTTTCTTGCGGCTCTCAACGGGGGTGGAGTACTCCTCTTCACTAATTCTCCACCCCGCCCATTTCAATGTATTGGCGGGAGGCCGCCAGTGGAGAATTATTGAAGTGAGGTACTCCACCCCCGGGCATATGCCGTGGGAGGCGTGAATCCCCCACATATTATATGTCATTTGAAAGCGCTTGATGAGGAGAATCCAACCTATGAAATCGCAACATGATTCATGCAGTTCTGAAGAAGTTATGAGCTAAAAAATGGTTTTTTACCTGCTTTTTTAAGAGCCTGGATCTCGGCGATGTTTTAATGGATCGGTACAGCTAAGACATACTCTGATAGGGCAAACCTCACCCTACAAAACCTATGAAGTCGCAACATCACACACCTTCAAAGTCCGGATTTATAAGAGTTTAAATGTCAGTTGTCATTAAGCAACCTAAAATTGAGGAGATTTTCAAGGTTTTTCAAAATTCTCGTTCTCGGCGGCCACTCCTCAAATCAAACTGATTCTTTCATTGTCTGGTAGAACAGCACTTAGCCTTCAAAACCTATGAAGTCGCAACGCGGAGGTCTTCAGCCAGCAGATTTGTAACAGTGGAATGATTTTCCACAATTTTTCATTTTTTATTATTCGAAATTCTGGTTCTCGGCGGTTACTGCCTGGATCCACCTACTACATAGATATATGCTCTTAAAACTTTCTTTTACATTTCTTTTGCTTATTTTTCTTCTTTTGGTTTTAGCAAAAAAATCAAAACCCAAAAGTGAAGGTGGTCACCCTGTACCAGCTTAAAAGTGAAGGTAGGCGGAGAATTGGCTCCGACTATCGCACCTCTGGTAAAGAGGTGCGAATTCACCCTCATCTACGCAAGAAAAGTTGCGTGAATCGTAAAAATTGCAGAACTAGTACTTCACATTGTTTCAAACGACGCAAAAAAAGACGAACATGTACTTTGATGGAAGTGAATGTGTCAGAATAAGCACAGGTTTTCTAGGTTTGCGTAGAAAAGGAGGAAAGAGAGGGGCGGGAGAACGGCATTATGCTTAGTAAGATTGAATACGTTGGTAATGAGTTGATGGGACAAAACTTATGCCGCACGATACTCCTAGGGCCGCATGCACTAACATCCCCGCCCATCGCAGCCTAAAAAAAGCTTCATATTCTGAAGCTCCATATGTCTGCATCTTACGCTGTTTGCCTATCCGTACGTATCCCTACTATCAGCATTGTCCATGTTCGGCTATCCTTGAACCTTGGCATGGCTTGTCGCTTGATAGAGGTGTGGTTTGAGCGGTTGACCAAGATGGTACACAGTTTATTATTGTACAAGCCTACGTTTCGGCGCTGTCGCCTTCGTCAGAGCCTTAGCCAGAAGCAAAACGGAACTATGAACATACTGAACAGAAGCGAGAAGTTGAACAAGCCGCGTTTTCCAGCTTTTGTGGGATCCCTGATAATCCCGGGCGGCCGGCCGTCTTTTCTTCGAAATCATTTTTCTTTCTTCGAAGCTAGCAAAAATCTTCCATAGTTAAACAGATTATCTAACCCCAATGGTGCTAAGCATGTTGCTGATAAGAACAAATGAGTTTTTGGAAAATCGAATTTTTCGATAAACCCCAACTTTCGCCTTGTGCTTCATCGCAAATTTCATAACTCCAATACATCACTTATTTACTTTTTATTTACATAATACGCTCATAGGCGCGCCACTTTGTAAATACCATCATAAGACGTCAATGAAGTTAGTAATACATCAGAATTAAAAAAAACATGAACACTTAAAAGGCATTCAGTCTCGGGATGAAAAAAAATGCGACGATTGAGAATTTCAATCTGCGCAGGCCAAAGAACAGTGACTCGATGAACCGTTGTTGCCCACGTTAATAACACAGCTGGCAAGAATTACTTTCAGAAGGAGAATAGAACGATCAGAAGTCCCAACCTAAACATCAGCTATATGCAAATATTCCAGTACATTTATAGATCTCAACTTCTTACGAAAAGAGGATGCGTTTTTACTTGAAATAATTTTTTGAGGTAAAAGGCTTAACCGTCTTGTGGTTCGACAGAAATATGAATTGAAAGTTTACAAAAAGCATTTTTTACCTAGCACCCACCTGTACGCTCTCCACTGGGCCTAAAGATCCAGTATTTACTGGCTCGTAATTTCATTCCTAATTATAGGATACGAAATCGTGTGTACTTATCAGCAACATGCCTATCAACGTTGGGTTAGATAATCTCAACTTTGGAAGATTTTTGGTTTTGAAAAAAGAAAAATGATTTCGATGGAAAGAATTTGGCAGCCGGGGACCATCAGGGGACCATACAAAAAGCTGGAAAATGCGGCTTGTACAGCTTTTTTTCGCTCGTGCTCAATATGTTCATAGTAAAGGATAATAGGAGTACTTGCGGATGGTAGACAGCGTGAAATCCAAAAGTTCGGAGCCTCAGGATATGAAACTTTCTGTTGAGCTTCCCTCCCCGGCGTTAATGCATGCGGACCTTAGGCAATACGCGGTACTGTGTAGGGTTCTTTGGACTTAAGATCATGAGTTCTATCATGCTACCATATAGACGTCTCCCCCCTTCCCTCCATCCCTGACCAGCTAATGGGGAAAAATTGTTGAAAGAAAATGTGCAAGATAATTTGACTCGTCTGAAGTCTAAAAGTGACTTAATTTTACTTCTCGAATGATCTTTATTTTGGAGGTTCCCAGCCTAGGAATTTCATTAAACGGGATGTAGGCTTTGATATTTCGAGAAGCATCCGAAATTTTCTTTTACAGGATGTGGAACTATGTCTATCACTTCAGCGCAACCTAATATGGTAAAAATTGAGCAAATCTTTGAGAAGAATGAATGGCTCAAAAAAGAGGAAATTTAGTGACTAGGTAATCGAACTGTATTCTGCTACGCGCTATCTCTTCAACATCTTGTGCAAAATGCTTTGGTGTACCCGTTACCAAACGGGCTTCATTTGACGGTTGGTGCGTCATGATATCTGCACTATGAGTTGCCCTTGTGCCAACGCCGTGCTAGCGCCGTGCCAGCTCGCACGTGAGGCGCCCTGTATTGTTCGATCGACTGCGCGGGCACAAAACAGTTTTGGGCGCAGCCTTATCAGTGCGTATCATTATTATGAGGTGACACAGTGCGTAAAAAGAACCTACAAAAAACGTTAGATGGAAATCTATCCGTTTGTTTGAGTTCATAAGTTCATAGCATCTTTATTTTTGTCGTCGTCTTCTGAAAGGACAGTTGGTTTACGGCAAGGTACCTGTACCATGCGAAAGAGCCGACCCTCTTGCAAAATCCGCGCCTTGCTTCCGAAGCAAATCTAATGGCCTTTATTTCATAACTTCTCAAAGCAAAGTTTTGAGAGTGGGGAAAATTTGTCACTTTGACATCTATGCTTCCCTCATTTGGTCCGTACCCCATAAAGTTTTCTTTGTAAAGATAATCGGAGTAGCTAGCCGCAGGCAAGGCTGATATGACACTGTGGTGTTCGCCAATATGTCAAGAAATGTCCAAACGAGGCTTCAACAGTTGTTGTATTCGACTGTTGACGTTTGACTTTTACGCGTTGTTCCGCAACATAATGTTACGGTCCTGTTTTTGGGCCTTGACTAATAAACGGCTTTGTCTAAGTGGTGCAAATGTTTAAATACAAGCCTTGACCAGCCATTTTACGCTTTCTCGGTAAAATTTGACGTAAAACTGTTGCATTCTCGTTAAACGCAAAACATCTACATATATGGTGAAAGTGCGCTTTATCCTTCTCTGTAGCGTCTTTCTTAACAAGAATTCCACCTTTATATGCACCACAGTCTGAATAGTTGTCTCCCATCATCCTTAATGATTGTGGATGGAGAATTCCCACTGGTGATTTCGTATATAGAGCCGAAAATGCAAGATTGTGAGAGATCGATTTTGAGAGAGACACTTTTTTACACACTTTTTTTGAGATTTTTTGTGAGAGATCAAGAAAACTATGCTTTAAAAAGTCATAAAACAAAGGTCAGTGGATTTCTTGAAAACAAAGAGCAGGTCTTGTAGAGTACAATTGACTCTTTGATTGGTACCTATATTTTGTCGTAAACCACGGCTTCATCAAAAACCGACAAAAATAAAAACGCTACGAACTTATGGAACGACCTAATATTTGTTATCTTACGTTTAGTGCATTTTGTGACGATAAATACGCGTAGCTTCTTCTGAAAATTGAAACAAGGTTTGCCATAAGAGTTGAACTAACATTATAGGTGTGTCAGATTCATTGATGTAGTATTTCTCTCCTTGATGGATGAGATAGCCAGCAGTTGCAGCGAACAGTACTCCACGGAACAACGCTGCACGTTCAGCTGAGCCGGATGAGGAATATCTGGGTAGAGGAAGAGATGTGGAGGAGTCATAACACTTACTGCTGATTAAATCGAACTCACAGCTTTCTGAACCGTGATGATGAAGAGTAATGATGATAATGATGTGACGAAGATCGGTAAGAAGAACCTGATCCGGAAAACCACGACCGACCAGCTGAACCTGATCGTGACGGCGATTTGTGGGAGATAGATATGCGGGATCGCGACGATCCCCTCCCTCCTGTGGATCCACCTCTCCTGGCCATTACTGCACATAACAGAAGAGAAACCACACAGAGCCGATACAGCAACATCCGAGAAAGTAGGGCTAGATTTTTTCTGGAAAGTTTCCTGACTAGTGGAATAAAGGCTGCATTCAAAATTTGAACTGCCATGCCAGCGCCGGGCTAACGTCGTGAAAATGCGTTCAGGTGGGCGCTCGTACGACACTGGCACAGCCCTAGAAAGCGCACAACCCTAAACACAGCTAACCAACTTGGTACAATGATAAAAAAATGGTAGGCTGGGCAGTGTATCAACTAAAGGCTGGGATCACATCACCAGTCATCATCGGCATGCTACTTAGGCAGGCGCTATACTCCTCGAGGAGTATAGCGCCTGCCTTAACAATAAGAAAAAATGAAAAAAATTCGACATGGCCAGAGCAAGGTTACTTTGCATGAACTATTAAAAAGTCTAGCCAAAGAAAGCAGCTCACATTGCTTCTCTAAAGTGCAAAGTCTGTCTTACCAAAAGAACGATTGACGCATGTCGTCAATGGTGATAGATGCTGACAAAGCGTCTCAAAGATATTGACAAATTGTTGCGTTATCACATTCTTAGCATTGACGCGTGATTGAAAAAATAGGGTTGTATACTATAATTAATGGTCAACAAAAATCTGAAATTAACGCATGCTATAAGGGTCAGAGGAATAATTTTCTCTAAATGAAAAACATGATTTTTCGAGAAGAATATGAGAATTTTCTTCAGTTCCTAAATTGGGTTAGTTTAATAGACGTAGTATATTACAATCGCAAGTAGTAGAAACGTAGTATTTACAACCTTCTAATAACCAACTCCAAGTACCATCGAAGATCATGCACTTTTTCCTTTGAAGTAAGTCGCAAAAAACAAAGCATCCAGCAACTTTGCTTACGTGACGCGTGAAGATAATCTGTCTCAAAAAAATAGCGAAATACAATGGGGCTATAATTTGTCAAAAAAGTCCTCGAACTCGACTGGAGTTCGCCGAGATCCACGTCGCATGCCAAAATCAAGATAATATTCAGGGCGCATAAATTCTGGAAGAAAGCGGACCATTTAACTCCGCTCAGTTGCACATCTTCTCATACAGTGCTCAACAAAATTATGGGTCCACTGTAAAAAATGTCATAACTCACTCTTTTGTCAATGAAATGTTCCAAAATGTGATAAAGTCGTGTGTTTGTCGGCCTACTATCAGTCATCAGAACAGGTCTCGTTTGGGTTTGGTTATTCAAGAAACTACCAAAAATTTGAAAAAAGCAGGCTTGAAGGCTGGTTATAATTACAGGTATAAATGGTCATCTAAGCGATAGAAGCGACGTCTTGACCTTTACAACGGAGCTCTAGCCTTTTGATGCGTGCTGGAAAATTCGTCGCTACCTTTCAATCAGCGGGCCTAAGAGTTTGGAACAAAAAACAAGATCAAGAATCAATGCGTTTTTGATCTCGACCGCATCGTTTCTAAACATCCCGGAACAGCTTGATCTGTACGCACTCGCCAAAACACTCGTATCAGAATTCCTTTCATGCATAGCTCTCTTACATCGCACCATAACTGATCCCACTCTTATATCTGCAAAGGAATTCAAACGCGACCTGATGACTGCCTTCCACTTGGCCCTTTTTTTATATATGATGGTATAAATTATCTGAGGTGATTATGCAGCGCCCAGTTGGGAGAGCCAGGTAACAACACTTTCAAAGTATCATAGCGATTCACTTCAAAGAAAGATGATCCCCTTTCCTAAACGATCTCCTATCTTTTTTTGCAAAAAATTCCCGCTAACTTTTGTACTTTCTTCATTTGAAACCATTTTCAACAATGGGCGTCCGAGGAGTGGATTTTTGATCTGAGCCTGATGATGTATACTGATGAGACATAATCAAGCAAACAATCTCTGTCGTAGCAAGATCCACATGTTTAGAATTACATGCGTAGGAATAAAACAAAGGTGACCCCCTGTTTTCGAGTTTCTAACTCATTCTAGCAAGGAGAGCCTCATACCGTTTTCGGTATTTTTCTGTGCCGATATATTCGGCACCTCTCTTTGTAGCTTATTATTCTTTTGCCAGATTACCGTAAAGGTTATGCCATAAGCATGACCTGCTGTGATATGAGTGTGATTATTGCCCAGATACATGCCAAGTTACTTTGCTTCGCCTGTTATTCTCAGCATTCTACCACTGCACCTGTGAGTGCACGTCGTCTGACTCAATAAAGCTACTATAGCTAATGTGTTCTGTATAGCACACATCAAGAGGCGCTATTTTAGGCTACTATAAAGCCGACGAACCACCCGATATATTTTGGTGCATCGGGCGGGAATTTGGCGATAAGGTTTCATACCACGTGGGGTCGTTAGTAATCGATAAATCATACTCAGTAGACAGCATATTGACCAAAACTTGAGTTTCGTCGAAAATGAGGAGCATCTGTCCGCAGTATTGCCTTGAATCGAGCAATTTTTGCACTATTTGTGACCTATTAGTTGCCTGGTCACAGTACTTTTCCTGCAAAGTTTTGGTTATCCAGTTGTAGTTCTCTGGAATGAGTTTTATGTCCTTTATGATAAGTTGCGCTCGCCCGCGAAGACTTTGCTTAAGAAGCATTATCTTCTTCGGAGTGCCCACTTCTCTAGATTTGTGAACAAGCGTTTCAAAGACAGCCCAGTATCCCGCAAACTCTTCTGCGTTGCCGTTGAACTCCGGCAAAGTTGCTTGCAGTGGCTTAATTGATCGCCAACGGCTTTGCTCTGTATAGTTTTCACTGTATGAGTTAGGATTTGCCGTGCGTGGAGTACTTGTTCCAACATCGTTTTGTATCCCATTTTGCTCAGACTCTTGATTTTCTATGCTCAAGGTTTCTATCTCATCTGCGACAGTGGTGACAACTTGTAGTTTTTGGCTGATTTGCCCAATTTTAGCATGTATTATGCCTTTATCGCATATATTTTCATCTAGTCGGCCATGTAATATGAAGACTAGGTCGTTTGCTTGCGTCATAATCACGTATAGTTGTGATTCTCCAACTTCAGTTCGATTTCAGTCTGCAACTCTTTTTTATCGGATCTGCTTTTACAGTTTTTGTACTCATTCATGATTGCATCGTACAATTTCTGCAAATCCTCTTTACCCCGTGTCAACAGTTTAATGCCACTTTGTAGGAGGGTAATCCTTTTCTCAAATTCTGTACAGGTTTCTTCATTCATGGTAGAATCAGTTTTTTGTAGCGCGGACTCCGTGAACGCGACTATCAAATTTTTGAGCGAGGTGCTCATCATAATTGGCTCTTTGTAGCAAAAAAAGAGCCATTTCGATTCTTTAGCTTGTAGCGTTTGAATCGGTGATCTGCGTCAGAAATGCGCAAAGATCTGATCAGCTGTTGTTTGACCTACAGTCCGTGTCAGTCACGTGCTCCCTTTTCCGTAGGCGCAATGAGCTCGGCGCCACGTTCGCGCGCGAGTGGCTGGCGCATTCAAAATGGCCTCATCGATTGGAGATTCGCACGCAGTGCCCTTGCGTTGGGCATGCGTATTTTTTAGTTTCTTAGTTCTGCGATCCGACTACTTGCGTAGAGGAGCGAATTTTAGCCTAACGTTATCGGGCCAAACGGCAATGGGAGTGGACGCAGTTTGCTCAAAGAGCTAGTCTCTTTCCCTGGAAGCAAAGTTGTGACGCTTTGTTGCGGGAAGAATTGGCTACTTTGGCCGATGCACCAAGCTATTAGCGGGTATAGACTCTTCGATTTTGCCTCGGTATGGAATGTAATACTTTGATATAGACAACAAGAATGGTGGTTCAGAGGTTTATTGGGATTACTGTGACCGAGAGCGTGAGATTGTGACCTTGGGTGGTCAAGGTGTGATCAAGAATGAGGCGAGACCTGCCAAGTGCACGCATGGCAGACATGGCACGCCCACTCGGCTATGACGTCATATGGGACAGGTATTAGGAATCATTGATCGGTCGATGAAACTCCGCAGACAAGGGGATACATACATGTAGAGAATGAAATAATTGTATACATGACTAGCACAACTGCATGTACATGTAGAGGTGAGAATCGAATACGTTGTAGTGGCAACGCTGAGTGAATTGTAGGGGGTAGTTGAGTGTGGACCATTGGAGCGACGGCGAGGCCCAGGCGAGAAGAAGTGCCACAGGAACCTTTCAGTTGATTATGACCGAAATCATAAGGCTGATAGGCACTGTAGGGCTCCGGGAGAGGAGTTTTTGAGAAAAGACAGCACAGTAGCAAAATCAAGTGCGAAACCTCTCCTTTTTGTTTAGAAATTGCTTACAACAGCTGAAACTGTTGGAATCCGCTCATGTTTATTGGATTTTAGTTTTGGCAAGCAATACGCAATTGGAGCTGATACCAAGCGTAGCATCCAGATGATTATGCGGATCATTACTTTGATAAAGTGTATTATCCATACGATTACGCGGATCACTGTTTTGACAGCGTATACTAGAACAATGGGACCACCTAGGTAGGTCGCGATCGCGAGGATTGCTGCAGACGTGAGTGCTGCTATAGCGAGATGCCAATGGTTTCTCATGATCTCTACCAGGGATGTTTGGCACGGTGATGTCACTAACCATTGGTGGTGCAAAGGCACTGCATGGGAATCTCCCTCGAACGGCAATGGATCAGCTGATATGTGGTAACAAAGAATACCTTGGAGATTAATAGATACTGGTCCGTGGTGACACTGCGCAGTACATTTCTTGTTGATTACTGCTCGTTCAAGTGCTAGGTTGATAGAAGTGGACTCATTATTTGACGAACATCGTATATTGAAATTCCGTCGTCCGCTAACCACGGTATTGGGGAAGGCGCCTGGACTCTGCCTTCAAAAGTGCAGGCAGAGTAGCAAGAAGTGCCTTAGAACTGTAATGAAGAAAGAATCATCCATCATACATAGCATCAGCTACCCTCAAGGCGTAAGAATGCGTGTCAGTCCTTGAATGAGGCCTACGAATTTTTTGCAAACTTTGAGCTACAGACGTGAACGTTGGCACACGGGGTGAGCAACCACGCCGTTTCAAAAACATCAAATCAAATAATATAAAATAGCAAGCGAAAATTCAAAAATAATGGAAAAGCGGGAAAGCGAGCGGTGGTCCCTGCGCGCGCGCCCTGTTTTTCACGGCTGCCACCGCTCGCTTTCCCCCTACTAATAGGTAGGCGCAGTCAGTCTTTTTTTTATTTCTTTCTTCTTCTCTCTTTCTCTCTCTCTCTCTCTCTCTCTCTCTCTCCCCCGTTGTCGGCGGTCGGGCAGGAGGCAGCAGAGGGTCGCCGCCTCTGCTTACGGAAGTGCCAGGGGCTCCAAACTCTTTCGCGCCTCTAATTACTTCTTCGCACTTCTGATTACCTGATATGACCTACGTCAATTGTTCGTAAACTTCTCTTGCGTGGTAGGGTGTGAGATATAGGTTTTTTGTTTCAAATTTATTGCAAGTAGGACAATAATTTCAAAAAATGCTCTAAAGGTAGCTCTCTCAACATCAAAAAAAAATTTGGAGTGATTTGGATATGAGGACTTTTTTTAGCTCGATCCCATGTTTCTCATGAACTATGTTTTTCAAGATGACTGAACTATTCGCCAACAAAGAAGATGGACTTTGACGAGGGACCTGATGCCAGTTCTGACCGCAAGGACGATGATGGCTTTGCTACCGGCGGGTTCGGCGGAGGTTACACTGGCTTTAGACGAGGCGGTTTGACTCGTGGAACGGCTCCGAGGGGGCGAGGAGGATTCGGAGGAAATTCGGGATTTGGTGCCAGCAGTCGTGCTGAAGATCACTGGCCCAGGAAAACTCTTAATTACTAGGAAAGTGATTTTGACAACAGAGAAAATGATAGTGTCGACGCAGACGATGGTAACTCTGGATCTGGGAATGCTGGCTTTTTAAAAAACGGATTTGGAAGTTCTGGATTTGAAAAGTTCGGCTTTCGAAATTCTGGTTTTGGATCTGGCGCTAGCTCTGCTTTTGACGCGGCGGAAATGGGGGGGAGGGGGGTGGTAAGTGTTGCAGATGGTTGTGCCAGATCATGGTGTTCTCGTGACAACTCCTCTGGCTTCGGTGGCCGTGGCAACTCTTCCGGTTTCGGTGGTGGCGATACCGGCTTCGGCAATAACAAAAGGGATGATGGCTTTGGTGACACGAGGTTTGGCAGTGCAACGTCAAGTGGTTTTGGTGGAAGTTCTACTGGATTTGGGGGAGGCGAAAAAGATCGGGGTTTCTACGGAGGTGGATTGTCGTCGTGGAGGTTGGGGATAGCGACGGAAGAGGTATTTAGAGCTAAATATTTGTCTAAATCAATCTCAGCTCTTTGTCTAAATCAATCTCAGCTATGGAAGGATAGATGGTGCAATCTTCTTCCGTATATTTGTCATTTTTAGATCGCAAGTGTTTCAACTGCATGCAAGAGGGACATCGTTCGAATGAATGTCCGTGCCAAAAGTACGTCTTTTTCAGACCATTTCAGATTCTAAAAAGAGTGCAGTTTACTTTCTTTCCTGTTACCTCAGACATAGTGCCTTTCGAAGCATAATTCTTGTATTAATCTCAATTTTTAGATCGCAAGTGTTTCAACTGCATGCAAGAGGGACATCGTTCGAATGAATGTCCGTGCCAAAAGTACGTCTTTTTCAGACCATTTCAGATTCTAAAAAGAGTGCAGTTTACTTTCTTTCCTGTTACCTCAGACATAGTGCCTTTCGAAGCATAATTCTTGTATTAATCTCAATTTATAGATCAAATCAATCTTGCTTAGACTGTGGTCAGAGCGACCATCTTTCTCGGAATGCCCCAATCCTCCAAAACTCCAACTTGATCGACTAGACAAGCAACGAAAGCCATTTATCCCGAAAGGTGAAGATGTGGTGTTGAACAAAGAACACATTGAACAGGGTGAACTGTTCACGAAATTGTTCGAAGCAGAAGTGACGCAGGGGGGCCTTCATGGCGGAAAATGAGAAGGGAAAGAAAATATCGTAAGTGCGATTACGCTCCAATCTTTGTGACCGGTGGAGTGATTTCAGGTCGTTTGCTGAGATTGAACTACCAGAGGAGATAGCAGATAGCTGATAATGTCCAGAACTGTGGTTATAAAAGTCCAACAACAATTCAGCAGTATGCAATCCCAGCGATTTTCAAAGGTATCATTTTATAACATCATTAATCTACCCTAATGAAACTCAACATCGAGTACAAAATAATTCCCATCATAGGGATTCGATGGCTTGTGCACAAACGGGATCTGGTAAGACAGCTCCTTCCATTCATGACAACACTCATTCGCACCAACAATCTCTGTGAAATGGCTGAACGCACATGCCCTAGGTAAATCTCAAGATTTTGTTCTATGTGAGCCCTGTGTGATTGCTATAGGTGATCATAATTATCGCTCCAACGCGTGAGTTAGCGGTACAGATATACAATGAAGGACGAAAATTCGCAAACCCTGCTTTGAACGTTGCATGCATTTGAGGTGCTGCAGTATGATACAAAGACAGCAGCTCCGCCGGGTAATTCTTTGACTTTGTAAAATCAAACTCGTTACTCATGTTTAGCTTTTAGGGTGCAAGGCTTATTGTTGTTACTGTAGGACGCCTAAATCATTTTATCGACGAAGGATACATCTCCCTGCGTGAAGTAAAAGTCCTTTGTAGGTCTATTCCATTATTAAAAAATATCGTTACAGGTCAAATACTTGTTTCTTGACGAAGCCGGCAGAATGCTTGATATGGGTTTTGAAGATTCCATCAATTTTATCTTCAGTCATCCATCACTGACTGCAAAAGAAGAAAGACACTCTAATGTTTAGGTTAGCTGCTGTTTCCGCTTTTTCAACAAAATGGATCTGTATCTTTTCAAAAAAAGTTTTTTATGTTGCGATTTGTAAAATTATTCGAGAACCTATGTTTTATTCACAATTCTATCACAGTCACTGATTTTCGATTCTTCTACAGTGCGACATTCCCTCCCGAAATGCAAAGTAGCAAGTCAACAGCTGAAGTCTGATTTCTTGATGATCACTTGTGGCAAAATCGGTGTGGCTAACACATGCATTCGCCAGGTAAGGCCCGTATGCACTACATCCCCGCTGGGGAGGGGAGGGGATCTGAAAGGGTATGCGTCATATCTCGCTACTCTACGTATCTTTTTTCTTCCTTCTCTGTCTTGCTTATGATGGTTCTCATACCCTAATACCTGCGCTCAATTGATGCCAGGTTACTTGCATAATTGATTACATTTTCATTATTTTGTGTGATCCCCTGGAGATCCCAGGGGATCACCTCATAATTTCAATGCCATTTATCTCCCTGAATACTCAATGAAAAGCTGTAAAATCCTACTGTGGATATACTACGGCAATGCTAAAGACGTCTATAGTGGAAATAAGTGAAATAGGACATCGAAATCCGAAAAAATCACAATATTCAGATTCCATCTCTACTGTCGAAAACATGCTTAGCAGTGCCGTAGTATATCCTCAGTACAATTTTACAGGTTTTTCATTGACTTCTCAGAAAGATAAATCATTTTGAAAATGAGAGGTGACCCCAGGGATCCCCTGGGGATCACACAAAATGGCAAAAAAACCAATCTTGTATGGCAGTAACCTGGCATCCATTAAGCGCAGGTAACCTTTGATTCAACTGGCTTGGCATCATCAGGGCGGGGCTTTGTGGCCTAATTGAGCCCGCTTGCGCCCGCGACGCACCTGCGTCTCTCTCGCGCGAGTGCTCTCTGATCATTATCAGCCTTAATTAGGTCACAAAGCCCCGCCTTCTCGAATGCCAAGCCAGTTGAATCAAATGTTATAAAGGTATGAGAACCTTCATAAGCAAGATACAGAACGAAGAATAAAGATACGTAGAGTAGCGAGATATGACGCATTCTCTCTCAGATCCCCTCCCCTCCCCAGCGGGGATGTACGTGCATACGGGCCTAAATCACAAATAGCTAAGTTTCGCTCTTATTGTGAGTTTGAGGAAATCATCGAAGTCACCACACTGCAAGAGAAAAGGGAGAAACTGCTTGAATTACTTAGAGCTGATCTTGATCAAGGTACAGTTGCTGTAAAAGAACAAGTCTATAATCAGTTTTTTAGATGCGGGCGTTTTCAAAGGAAACAATGGTTTTCGTCTGTTGCAAAATCGGGGCCGATGTTCTTGGCGTTTTGTCGTCAAAGTGAAATCCCGTCAACCACGATTCATGGAGATCGAAAACAGAATTTGCTTGCCGAAGCAATTGATGATTTTAAATATGGACGCAAACCCGTAAGTTTTTAAGAGGTGTGCTTCTGTTTGCCGTCTAGCTTTCGTTTACTTTGCCAATCAGGTACTGATTGCGACAGCCGTTGGCGAGCGAGGACTGGACATCAAAGGTGTCGATCACGTGATCAACTATGACCTTCCAAACAATGGAGAAGATTGTGTGCATCGCATCGGGAAGTGTGCGTAGTATGTGGGTTTTTTGCGAATTGGAATTTACGTACACAGAACTGGAAGAGTCGGCAGTCCCGGAAGGGCCATCTCGTTCTACTACGCTTCGGACGACAGAGCACTCGCCCAAAGCCTAGCTGAAATTTGGACAGAGGCCGGCCAGGTAACACCAGCATTCTCATGATCTCAAAATTCGAGTAATTCTTTGCTTGTGATGTAAAATGTGTTTCGAATGTTCCGAATTCCTTAACATGGAAGCAAGCAGCAGCAGCAGTAGATTTGGATTTGGTGCTGAAGCAGATGAGTGGTAATCTCGTCACTGTACTGATCTATCGCTTCGAAACGCCCACTGTTCTTATCCATAGGTGTTTGATTCTGTTTTTGCATGTTTTTCCTCCATGTATATTCCTCGATTTGTGGAAGTTTTTGTGAGACTGATTACTACATCCAAAGATGTTCAAGCATAGTTTGTTAGATTAAAAACTATTGAAATGAAATTTCTGTGTTTCAAAGAATAACCCGACTGTTCAGTTTGTTACTTTTTCATGGAATCGTTGCTGCTCTTATATATCTGATGCGAACTTGTATGATGTGTCCGTATATCATTGCCTTTCGGTGGCCTGAAGCGAGGGGGGGGGGGATTAGTTACGAAAATGTGCAGGTGAATATGTTTATATATACTTCGAACAATTGAAATAAATTTTAAGATTTTTGAAGGTCCAAAATGGGCGTGCGAATTTTTTGGGGGGTATTGCCATGCGCCTTATGAAATTTCGGGGTCATGGGCCCGCAAAAATTTTGGGAGGAAATCCAGAAAAATTTGCGAAGTTTATGGCTAAGCCACGTACCTTCATTCGAAAGAAATTTTTATCCCCCTCCCCCCAAACGCAAATTTCGACTGCTGCCTCCTTCGTATGGCGGTTGCTTTCAATGATCCTAGCATTGTTCCCACCGGCAAAGTTGTCCGACAACAGTTCCGCAAATTTGCGCAGAGGGCGGCCTCATTCATGCCTCATCCACTGGCTGTCACTTGGTTGTCTCTCCATGTCGCCGCGCTGCCGATAGCGTACAGGGCTTATCAAATCCAATGTCGTTTGCACCAGCTCTCCACTCTCCACTTTACTAGGCTTACTAGGCTTAGCAAATAGCACTCTCTACGGAACACGCATCTTATATTCCTGAAGGCGTTGGAATAGCTGGGAGGTGCGCGTTGTGCTCCTCCCGAGTTCTTCCAGTGACCACAATGTCTCCAATTGTGCAACAACTCCACGAATTGGGCGGTGACGTTGCTCATTAGCGTGTGGAAGGTCCTAGCTCTTTACACTGAGGGGTGAACGTTATAGCGGAGGAGTCCTCGCAACGTCATGGCGTGAGCAATTCCTTGCTCTCGTCATCCATTACGTGCAAAATATGCCTCAAGCAGGTCGATATGGGTGAAGGCGGTTTCTCCATTCAGCCTGGTAACGACGTATTCAGCTGTTGGCGGTGTCAATTCAGCACCGGTGCATCGTTCAGCTTGGTGGAGTAGCACAGATGCGCACGGCTCCAATCTTCTTCTGAATGGAAAGATGGGTGCAGTCCTCTGCGGGTAGTCGACTGGTGAGAGTACTCAGTGGGACGAGACGGTCCAACTCTCGAAACGAGGTTCGGCCGCAAATGATATCCTTCCGCTTTGGCACGTAGACGGGCGTGGCATCCCTCTTCAGTACGAGCTTTGACCTTCAACGGGTCCTAGCTCGTCCTTGAACACCTCGGGAACCCAGGCCGCGAGGCGGCAAAGGAGCATACACAACACAGCAGATAGCAGAGAAGGCACTCAACGATAAAGGAGCATCACAATACAGCAGGTAGGAGAGAAGGCTTGTGGGGAGGGCGGCAGCTGTTAAAGTCACCCGCCACCCAAATTCTCGACATCCATAATTTTGTCGTTCCAGGGCCTTCTCACGTCCCGATTCCAAATATCAAGTCGAGAATCCGCAAAAAACGCGAGAATCCCCGTTCCGAGAGCCCGCAGGGCTAGCCCTCCAGAACGGTGATTAATTGGATGCGCATGGATGGGCGGAACGAACGTCACGCCCACCTAAAGGGGAGGAGCCAACGTGGCGATTAAGTACCCGAAGGATTTTTGAAGCAATTTTCTCGCTTCGGAAGCAACTTTTGGCAGCGAGTTGGGCAAGTTTACAGATGGGGCCCCGCTACTGTTAGGCTTCAAAATCTCATCGACCCCATTTTGGTGGAGGATGCCTTTAAAGCATGTTTATCCCCAGCAAACGCAGGTCCTTAGTGACATAAAGTAGAATTTGGGGCCTTTTGCACGACAGCAGTAGCCATCCTGTTGCCATGCCTTGTTGCACCGAGTTTCCCTCCCACTTTCTTTTCTGCATAGGTAAAAGCTTGTGGCGTCCCAATATTTTTGTTCGAGAGAGAGGGAGACGAGAAAATTTTGGATTGAAGGTGCTTGGCGTCAAATATCGTGAGAAGTTTTACCAAGAAACCTTATATTTGGTTGGCAAAGGAAACTCGTGAGAAAGAAAATCTGCAGGCATGTTTGATAAACAAAGGAGGGGTCCAACCTGGTCCGACAAACCGGAAAGAGTTGTTTATCATCAAACGCTTCCCTAAACGTTAATTTCAAATCTGCTTTCCTTTTCTGCAGATCAACTCTTCGGAAGAAGTCACAGGCGTTTGTTCAAATTTGCCAAGCCTATAGTGGCATAAAATTGTCGCAAAAAATGTACAATAACACGTGTGCGGGTTCCCACTGACTGTATTCCTTTTTTGTAGTCAATATTCTCGGTATAAATGATTTGGAAGGGTATTTCAAAGGCACCGTTCAACCAAATCCTCAATTGAGTTTTTGTTTTTTTCAGCACCTCTCGCGCCCGCTGTGTTCAAATCCAAACCTAAAATTAAGTGAAAGTCTCAAACTACTCAGACACTGGGAGCGGACGAGCCGCGGCCCTAAAACGCCTTTCCGGCCCGTCCGCAGCCTTAATTTGGGGACGTGGCCGGAGAGCGGCTGAGCCGCGGCCCTCAATTCATGTCCATATCATTTCACCGGCCGAGCCGCGGACCGAATATGGCTTATCGGCTCAGCCGCGGCCTTAATGATGGGGTGGAGCATTGCAGCGGCTGAGCCGCGGACCAAAATCTCTATGATGAAATACCGGCTGAGCCGCGGACCTTATCCGGCCGAGCTGGATAAGGTCCGCGGCTCGGCCGCTCCCAGTATCTGTGCGTAAAGAATACTTGCGTGATGTATGACGCATGGTCAGGCTGCCCTCAGTGTCCGTTGCCTTCGATGTCTTTCAAGTCTCCAAGGCGGGAACAAGACCAATATGTTGTACAACGTTGAATATGTTGTACAACCTTGGATAGCACTTTGTGCTGTCCAATCCCCATAGGGATTGAAGCTGCCATAGCGGTGGCCTCAATTTTTGTTTTCTTTACTGTGTACGTTGTATCTATGTGCCAGTGAATAAAAACGCAAGTTTACTGTATCCTAGCTGGAATGAACTAGACGGCCACAACCAGCTCCGGCTGAGCCGAGGCCCAAAACCGGACGAGCCGCGGCCCATTATCGGCTGAGCCGAGGCCCAAAAGCGGCTGAGCCGCGGCCCAAAACCTTGAGTTTGGATGCCCTTCAGATCCGCAGTAGGCGAACACTTCTTGCGCCTGCCGGTCAGGTGCGGGCCCATCGCAGGGCAGAGGCCCTCTCTCGCATGATTCGATCGATTTCTTGCTTAGCGCGTGCTAGGCGAAATCAGTGAGTGGGCGGGACAAATGTACCGTCTACTTGCTAGGGAGAAGCCAACGTGGCGAATTGGTTTTTCGAAGAATTTTCGAAGCGGTTTTTCTCGCTTTGGAAGCAACTTTAGACAGCGCGTATGGACAATTATACAGTTGAGGGCCCCGCAACTGCTAGACATCGAAATCTCGTAGACCCTTTTTGGACGGATGGTGCCTTCAAGGTCCGTACGCACGTTCATTCCCCTTGGGAAGGAGAGGGGAGCTGAGAGGGACGCGTCGTATCTTGCTGCTCTAGATAAATGTATTTTTCTTTGATTTGTATCTTATGGAAGTTCTGATTCCTTCATATTCTGATATCTAATCACAATGGATGCCAGGACGTTGCCATGCAACCTGCGGTTGTTTCGTGTATGTCCCCCTTCCCCTCCCTCCCCCTTCCCCTCCCTCCCCCCCCCCCCCTGGATCCCAGTGGTCTGCCGTCGGTGTTCTTTTCAGATGGGATGTATATGATGAAGAGCTTTTAATGATGATTCCACATCTGGCTTCCATATCCGCGGAATGTTTGTGGGGGAGTTATGAGCCTTGAGTGGAGCAAAAAATAGATACTAGAGCTCAAGTAAAGCACCATGTGTGATATATATAACAAAGCGCTGGAAAGATATTACGATTATTCTTGTCCTACTTGCACATTCAATTCTATGCTCCAGTAAACGCCCATAATTCCTCCCCTATAGGCGTTCCGCATTTTGGAAAAGCAGATTTGGATCAGCGTTTCATGCTCTCCATTGTGGTACACATCCATCTAAATAGGCCACCATTAACATCCCTAGCGGGCGGGGGATCGCAGCTTAGAAGAAAGCTTCATATCCTGAATCCAGATATCTGGATTTCTCGCTGTCTACTTATTCCCCAGTATTTCCACCATCCTTCGCTATGAACATATTGAACAGGAGCGAGAAGCTGTACAAGCCGCATTTTGCAGTTTTTGTATGATTCCCTGATGGTCCTCGGCGGAAGACCGTCCTTTCTTTAGAGTCTTTTCTCTTTCTTCAAAATCAAGGGAAACATTTTAAAGTTGTACTGTTCGTCTAACCCGACAGTGCTAAGCATGTTGCTGATAAGAACAAAGAAGTTTTGAAAGAAATTTGCTATGGACCACAAGTCGAAAAAAATATCGAAAAATTTGCTATTTCAAAAACTCATTTGTTCTTATCAGCAACATGCTTGGCACTGTCGGGTTAGGTAATCGGTACAACTTTGGAATGTTTTCTTTTTATTCGAAGAAAGCAAAATGAAGAAAAAAACTTTGAAGAAAAGACGGTCTTCCATCGGGGATCATCAGAGGATCAAACAACTAAAAGCTGGAAAATGCGGCTTGTATAGCTTCTTGCCCTTGTTCAAAATGTTCATAGCAGTGGCGGACTGAGGGGGGGGGGCAAATTTTTGGAACTTACCTACATCCATATATAAAGCTGAATGTCTGTTTGTCTGTCTGTATGTCTGTCTGTCTGTATGTAACCTTTGATTCAACTGGCTTGGCACAATTAGGGCGGGGTTTTGTGATCTAACTGAGGCCGCCCGCGCCCGTGACGCACCTGCGTCTCTCTCGCGCGAGTGCTCTCTGATCACTACCTAGCCTTAATTAGGTCACGAAGCCCCGCCTTTGCCGATGCCAAGCCAGTT